CCCCATCTGCTTTTTCCCTTGGGGAAAAAATGGAGAAATGTTTTTTTAATGCTTTAAAATTTCTGGAAATTTACATCCCTAAGGTATGCACTAATAAAAGAATGGTTGGCACAGTAATCTAATTATTTGCAGTTTGTAGAACTGTTGTGAACTTAACTTTTGACCATGGCTTTACCTATTGAAGGACCTATTAAAGTTGATGTGCCCCTGTTTTTATTGTGTTGGTTTAAATTGTTGGTTCCCCAGGGCATGTAATATTTTGCCTTCTCTCCATTAAAACTTCTAATGCCCTGTCTCCATTGGCAAGTGCAAAAGAGGTACGGCCCATCACTGGTCTAGGAAAGGGGGTGAGCTTTGATACCAAGATGCAAAGTTGTATTGGGGGGATATGTCTGCATGATGGATGAAGGCAGTTCTAGGTGCGAAGTTTATTGTGTACCTTTCTAAAGTCCCATCTGCCTTTCTAACATGCAGGGGGTGCGCACACTGGACAAGCTGAATGGAATTAATTGTTGTTGCTCAGCCTTCCTTGGGTACAGCCTTCCAATCAGCCTCGTCCTTTCTCCTTGCTTGGGCAGAAAAACTGGATACGTAGTTATGTTGTATTTGTGCACAAATGAACTTAGAGGACTTGAACTTCTTTGTACAGTATTGTGATTATTGGAAACAAAGCAGCCTTTGAGTATCTTTGGGACATACCAGTCTAACCTTTGCCAGAGGAGTGGTGGAGGAGTTAACTGTTGTAGTGCATGGCAGCACCAACAACATTTGTAAACATAGCTGTGTAGTCTTGGAAGACAGTTCTAGGTGCCAAGTGAAGATAGCTTATGTTGTCCCTAATCCTTTGGTAATAGTTGGTTGAAATTATATTCTTCTTTATCTCTCAATTATTTGTGTTATCTCCTTAATTATTCGTGTTATATGCTTAGTTGATTGTATATATGCAGCTGCTTAATGTTACAATTTTCCTTAAGTTAATAAATATTTGATTTGATTTTTACAGCATTTTTGTTGTTTTGTCATAACCCATCTCTAGAACTGCGAGGCAGATAAATAGGGCTGCTTGTGGAGAAGTCCTTTTGTCAGCCTTAGCCCATTTTATGCTTCCAGAACCAATGAATTTGCATCCTTCACATGCTAAGTTTAAGACGAAGGATAAGTATTAGTCTTGTGTTATTTTCTGTTAGTTGCCACTGTTCTAGAATATTTCACCTTTGTGTTTTGTGTTGGTTTTCAGATCATTTGCATTTTTTGAAGTTTTTCCACTATTATTTACCGCTTAGTTGCTTACTGACTTTGTACCTATTAATACTGAAAGTAAGGGTCCTTCATTAAGACCTGTTCAGCATCCATTCCTTTCTCTGTGTTTTGTGATAGAGATGGCTATTATGTTGGTAGATCAGGACTTAATTTCCTGTTGATGTTTTGTCTGTCATTCATCTGTATCGCATATAGGCCCTACAATCTGAAGTATACTTTCCTGAAAGTAAGCCTGTTCAATAACATGGGACTTACTTCGAAGGGGACCTGCTGAGGATTGCTCTCTTGGTATCTATTTATAATATGTCAGACTTCTTGTCTGCAGGCTATTGCAGTATCATAGAGATAGCAACCCTGACAGTTAAATCAAGGCAGGACAACTTTAAAGTTCCTATGTCCTTGCATTAATGTCTTGTGAATTCCCATTACATCTTTTGAAGTCAATGTCCTGGTTCATGTATGCATATGATCTCTCCTGATTTCATTATTCAGCACTCGGAACTCACCATTAACTGTGTGAACTGCCTTAATTGAAATGTATTGTGACTTCAGGTGATGTGAAATTCGGCAATGTGCGTGTTAGACTCTTGGACAAAGTTACTCTCAACAACACCCTCTGGCAGTGATTTGTTTATTGAGAAATAAAAATGTTCCAAGCTAAGACCAGTACTGTGTCAGAAATGAGGTTCTGGCACCAAAACCCATAGTTATAGACAGTTCAGTTCCGTCCAATCACACGCTACAACCATCCCGCCTAGCTTTCGTGCACTCTACTCCCCTACCTGTAAATCCATCGTTACATTTATCTGTGACAGCGAAGCAAGCACAGACATTCCCCAATGTCTTTAGAAGAGTTACATCACCACTACAACAGAGCCATTCTCACACTCTCACACACACCCATCAGGAATTTCCCTCCCTTAGCAGGCCTCAAAACCCCATAAGACATGGCAAATGAGAGTCCAAGCTTGACAGTGCAAGTTCTTTCACCTATGCAAGTCATGATGCAGATGTTGTATTGGACTTGGGGGGGGGGGATCTCATTTTTGGGCTCATGTAACTGGGTTTCATCTTTTTGAGGCAGACATCCTGAGTTTGTACCTCTGTGCATGGGAAGAATGATAGGAACAAATACTAAATTTTCAGTGAAGGGCTTGTTTTCTGACTAATCTTCTTAGGAGTCCATCAAAGGTGGGTAGCCCTTGATGCTGGAGAGGTGCTCCTTGAAAAACGTGAGAGCTCCATAAAACTCTTCAGTTTGGCTCACACTGGATAACAGTGTGAACCACAAGAGTGGAATGTTAGCATTCAGCCAGACCATGATACATTTTTAGCACTACTTAAGATACAATCCTGGACATGGAGCTGATTGTAATGGTCTCCATAAGTTTGTGTCTCGAAATGTAATGTTTGTGGAACAGCTGAATGTATGTAACTAGTCTTTAGAGAGATTGGAATATGGCAGAAGAAATAAAACACATTCCAGATAGTTGGTTGGGTTATATTTGTGTGTGTGTGTGTGTACTGAGACTAAATATAATTGCTTTTTTTTCTACCTAACTCACAACATTGGCACATTGATCAGAGGAGATCTTTTTAAACTCACACAACAAATCAAACTATCATTTTCTTTTCCTGATCTATAAACCAGTATGTAGCTTTAGAGTGTAGTATGAGATTTAAAACTTGGCAACATTTTATCTTTGATTAGCCAGCAAAGCTATTGAAGGTGGTGCCAAGTGGGAAATTTAAGAGCCGCCTCCAGAGCCAAGTTTAGTCAGTCACCATCAGTTTGGACATTAAATGTTTCTTCCACCCCCCCCCAGCCCTTTTTCTTGTCTGCTTATTATAATAAAATGGAGACTAAGTACCTTGGAAGAAGGAAGTCTTGTGTTACAAAACAGGATATAAATCAAGCCATTATTCTAGATTATCTGTTATTCGGAATTGCATTATTATAATTTTTCAGAACATTCCCAAATACTTTATTTAATACTGAGCCATTATAGACTGGTAGGCCTATTCTCAAGAATCATATTACTCTGTGGGGATGAATTAATACATTTGTCCATCTTGACAGGGTTTTTTTGGATGCAAAATTGGTGTTTCCATGAAATCTGATAAGTCTTCAGACAGTTGTAAATGTACCCAGTTGGAAATGAGCCATTTTCCTTAAAAATGAATGCCAACTGATTTACTATTGTTACAAGCAGAAATATGGGACCTGGCAGTACGACTGATGGGAATGGACATCCCCCTGTGGGATAGGCATAGTAAAGGTAGAGGTAAAGGTTTCCCTTGCTCGAAAGCCAGTTCAATCCGACTCTAGGGATGCGGTGCTCATCTCTGTTTCCAAGCCAAAGAGCCAGCGCTGTCCAGAGACATTTCCGTGGTCATGTGGGCAGCATGACTACACGCCAAGGTGCACGGAACACTGATACCTTCCCACCGAAGCGGTACCTATTTATCTAATTGCAATTTCTTGCTTTCGAACTGCTAGTTTGGCTGGAGCTGGGACCAGAGATGGGAGCTCACTCCGTCATGCGGCACTCGGGTTTCAAACTGCTGAACTACCAACCTTCCAGTCTGCAGTTCAGCGTCTTAACCACTTTTGAGCCACTGCAGCCCAGGCATACCGTAGGGATAGGCATACAGCTTAACCACTTGAGCCACTGCAGCCCAGGCATACCGCAGGGATAGGCATACTGACAGACAAATGTTGCTTGGCTTTAAAGTGCATATAAAAAAGACAGTTCGGATTGTGTGGTCATTTGCTTTGACGTGTAAGGATTACATCCATTTCCACAATGGGCTTTGTGTTCCTTTCCTTTCTATAGCACCTTATTTCCAGAGCCAAATGAGAATCCAATGCCTTTTCCTGAAATGCTTTTAGAGAAAGAGAATGTGAAAATACCCAGCAATATCAGTGTGCACTACAATGATAATAATCTGAATTCAGAAAACATGTTTCTGGACAGTTGCAGGGATAAGAGAAGGCAACAGTGTCTGTAGTAAGGTATAGACCAAAATACATCTGGCAGCTATTTAAGCAGTAGGAGAGAAAATAGAGCTGGTTTTAGAGTAGATAATCTGCCATGCATTATGAGTCCCCCCCCCCTTAATAGTCTCCAGAGACCTCCCTGAGAGTGATGGTTGGATTCACAGGAGACCCACGTGTGAACTGGAGAACACTACTGTCCGCTTTTGCAGTAACACAGCAGCCGCAGAAGAAGGACAGGTCATGTTTCCAGATTTATTCCTCTTCACAGCAACCCTTCATGCTGCTTCATATTCTGGTCACTGGTCTCCAATGATTATGGGCATCAGTTTTTTGGAGTTCTTGGGGTACTGCTAGAGAAATGGGTAAGCATAAAAAATGTGCATCTGTGACTGCCATTTGTGCTTGTGATTCATAGAATCTAACTCAGGGATGTCAAAGTCATTTGTTATGAGGGCCGGATCTGACATAAATGAGATCTTGTTGGACCGGGCCATGTGTGTCATAAAATGTAATGCCAGGTAGCGGAGATATAAACTTTATAAAGGACACAAACACAAAGGTTTTTTTTTTACTTAAAATAAAAACATGTTTAAAACATTAGCACTCTGGCAATATTTTGTTTATTTAACAGTGTCTGATAACTGACACCTCTTGCTCTGAATTATTGCATCAAAATGTCTGTGCTGTTGCAATCTTGAGCATGCTGTTCAGGTGTGTATCTGTAAGCTGCAAACCTACAATGACGCAGCAGCAGCAGAACTTGAAGAAGCAGCGGAAGACAGCCAGTTCCACTGCAGGCCTGATAGAAGCCCTCCGGGGGCCTAATCCAGCCCATGGGCTGCATGTTTGACACCCTTGATCTAACTATTCTACATGATGGAACTACTCTATCAATAGTGGAACTGAAAATCGTGCAAAGTTGTGAGTGATGACTGAATCATATGAGGAGGTGCGCATTACATTTCAGAGGCATTTCTGCTCTCTTTTTCAACCCTGTCTTTAGTGCCAGGTTTTTCAGCAGATGCTATTTTAAGCTTTTTACTCACTTCCACTTAACTAGAGAAGCTAAACTGAAATGAATGCTTTATTCCAAGATATCTAACTAATGCTCTAGATCTCCAGTTTAGTTTCCAAATATGGCCATTTAGGAAATCTGTATCCTCTATGCATAAGGGTTGCTTAACACAATAAGGGTATTGCAGATCTACATCCGAAAAGGTACTGGCCTACACATAAAGTGTTTCTTTGTAGTTATGAACTAGATGAGATAATAGTTTTTCCTTCTGGTATCAGCCATTCTTTGCTCATGACATGGTACTTTAAAGTGAGGGGGGGGTTCTACGTGAGCTGGAAATCCTGACACCATGGATCTTGTCCATGGTTTGGAAACAAGCATCATAAAGGTTCACTTATTCATAAGCCAGAATTTATTAAATGCACCTATGGAGTATGAGCACATTTGAAGATTGATGTTGCAGCTATGTAATGACCCTACCTGGCCTATCAAATGTTGTAGTAAAACTTGAAGAATATTAGCAGTCTCACAGGTTTGTTGGCAGTGTAGACTAGCAGTTTAGTTTTATTCATTTGGGCATTTATATGCTACTATTCTCACAAAGCAGTTTACAGAAAATTCCAAAAATACTGTGACAACAACCGAGTGCAATTTAAATAAGGAAAACAAAGTTAAGCCTTGAATGTATTGCATTACTGCACTCTTTTCCAGTAACCATGACACTTGCACATAACTCGGGGTTAGAACCATGACTGCTAGGTTTGGTATCTGAAGAAATGTGCTTGCACACAAAATCTTATGCCTTGAATTAGGTCTTAAAGGTGCCGCTGGACTCAAGCTTTGTTCTGTTAGGTTTGTAAAACCTTCACTGAAATGAAGAAATGAAATTTCTTTTGTATGATTGTTGACTTATTTGCAGGGTTGCCAAACTCCAAATGTGGCCTAGGAGCTTGAGAGGGTGAATTCTGGCATTGCACCCCACTGAAGCCTCTCCCCCCATTACATCCTCCCCAAACTTCACCCCCAGATTGCCTGGAATTTGCTAACCCAGAGTTAAGAACTCTGTTAATTTTCCCATTGGGGAACAAGCTCAGATACTTAATGTTATGACAATTACTATGACGATTACTATTTTTCTAGTATTAATCCCCCCCCCCCCAATTTGCTACTGGATTACGTGAGCCATGCCTTTTCTAGTTATATTAATATTTGCAAACCCAAGTTAATTTTTGCTCCAACAGTAGGTGCAGTAGGTGTAAGCAAGCCCCATAGGGTAGGTAGCACACTCAGGGCTTCACTGCCCAGTTTTAATTGTGGATGTGTTGCAAGACTTCTAATATTTCTGCAGTTGTAATACATTTGCAGCACCACATACATGGAAAACATAGATGCAGCATCTTGCTTAATGCTTCCCACCGAGCATGTCTATTATTTTTCAAAATAAGAATCTATTTTAAGAGGTTTGGAATACTTTGCTTGCTTGCCCGTGCATGCCAGATTTCTGTTTTGTATAAAGAAAGCTGCTTTTTAGCATAATTTTAAACCATAAACAGTTCAGTACTCAGATCTGTTTAAACACTGCATTTTTTTCTGTGTGGAGTATTATATCTGTTGAATGTATATAGCACATCTTTTAGGGGGGAAACGTGGCACCATGGTATTTAAAGCAATGAAGTTCACACAGTGCCAGTCATGGAAAGATAAGAGAATTTGGTTAAAATGTAAAGGGTAGATACAATGTTAATCTCTTTTAATTGTGTTCAGTGGTTGGATCTCCCCTCCCCACAACAATTATAATTCTATCTGTATTTTGGTATTGTGGGGGGGGGATTGTGTGTGTTTGTGTGTTTTTTCTCCCCTCTGATTTTCACACTTCTGATTCCCAGTCTCTTCAAGGGATCAAGAACTATTTTGGGGGCACTGATTCTATATTTTCAAATAACTCATAATTTCCATCTGCTTTTACTTGACTTGTGGTTGTGAAGATCATGCTTGGCCCTGGGGATCTAACAGTGTGCTGAGAGGATGTGGAGCTTTGTCAGCCAGTGAAATATGTCTGGCTTCCACCCCTCCCCTTCCCCACTGGCTTTCCTGTGCCTTTCATCTTGTGTGGTCCAACTGAACTGGATACATTTCACAGTACTGCTCACCTTCCTTCTTTCTTATGTGTCTTTTATACAGACAGTTCCGTAGGGAAACATGAGGACCATCTTGAGAAATTCTGTATACCGAAAAATAAAATATATCCACATTTGTCTTAGGTGTCCCATATATCTGATCCATCTGATCAATATCAAATTGCAGTTGCTTACAAATGTTGCTTAATAGAAAACGTGTCAGGGGGAAAAACTGATTTCTAATGGCAGGCAGAGTGTCTACTCCATTTATGCCTGACTGCCGTACTGTTTCTTTCAGGCCTTGCTGCAGTCCACGGTCCAGCAGCGAGAAGAAGCTGTCGAAAAACAGTATGTATCTGCGATAGAAAAACAAGCACATAAGTGTGAAGAGCTCCTTAATGCTCAGGTAACTGCACTGTTGTGCATATCTTGACCGGGGTTCAAATAGCTATGTAAGCTGTCCTAGTGGCTTATGCGTCTTCCTTTTTTGTGGGCCCCCCTCCCAAAAACCACACTAATACCTCTGTTGTATCACAAACTGCTTTTGAAACTTCCCTCCATTCAGTTACTGTTTACTGTGTAACATAAGTGGTTGCAGTTAGAAACGTGTTAGGTAAGTATCTAGTTTGTGCTTTGGTCATATTTTTCCCCAATATGTATTCTTGCACTCTTCTTATAACAACTTGCTTGTGATCCTTGACCCTAGGGATGTCCGACCGTCCTCAACCAGGACCAGGGCCTCCTCGGTCCTGGCCCCGACCTGGTGGAACTCTCTGACAAATGACATAAGGGCCCTGCGGAACCTCATGCAATCCCATAGGGCCTGTAAGACAGAGATGTTTCGCCAAGCTTTTGGTTGAGGGTAGCAATGGTTACCTCATTGGCTGGCGCCCTTCCTTCTCCCCTCCCCCCCTTTCTTGCTCTGAATTCCCTTTCCCCCCCACCCCGAAAAGGGGCTAGCAGTCCAGAATTGGGGCAAATAATATCATAGGAAAATTGCTACCTTGGATTGTTTTATCTGTACTGTAATTTTTTTACTAAGTTATTCATTGAATTTTAATATTTTGTATATTTTATGGCATTATGCCTTGTACATCACCCAGAGCCTGGCATAAGCTGGACTGTTGCGATTAATACATCATCATCATCATCTTGTCTCAAGTACTTTGTGTGTGTGTGGGGGGGGGTTGACTGCCACTAGGGCTGCTGGACCTCCTACTGGAGCCCTATTTGTCCACTGTTGCTCAGAGCAGCAGCAGGACAAATTCTTTTTTAAAAGGTTATGTCAGCTGCGTTGCTGCATCACTTAGGAATCCCTGGAAATTCTATGGTTTTACCACTGAGTTTCCAGCAGTTGCTAGAGCTGCCCTACATCACTTCCAGGTTTTCCCCAACCACTAATCATCAGTGTAAAAATTATGTGTATCTATATGTGGACATAGACTTTTGAAACTGAGAAATGTTTCACAAGCAGTTTGTGATGAAGCTTGGGTGGCTCTTCCAATTAATAAGGGAAAGTCCCCTTGAGGATAACAAAAGCTGTTGGTCTCATTGGGAAGTTTACTTTGCAGTTTTTGCCAAAAAGCACAATGATCATGAAATTTCCACCCAGACATTTCCTTTCCATAATGTTGGGACACTTAAAACTACTCTGATGATATCATAATACACACTTGTGCAACTATTAGTTGCACTTTTCTTTTCATGTTAGTGGTCTAATTTCAATTGTTGGTCTTGCAGACAAAGTCAGGGCACTGTAAAGCACATTCTATAATCCACCCAAGAAACTTTATTTTATGATAGTGTTTAGGATACTATGATAGCCAACGGAAGAAGGTAAGGGTTTACTTATACTTATGATCTACTTGGTATATTTTGCAGTATTTAGGGCTGCCAAGTCCCCCCGGGGGGCGGATAATCCCCCGCTTTGGAGGCCCGATTTCCGCCGCCGCGGAATTGGGCCCCGGGGGAAAACCCACCCCAGCGTGCACGTCAGCCGGATGTGATGTGATGATGCCGGGCATGCTGGGGGCGGGGCCACAGCCATTTGAGGGGAAAACTCTATGTTTGAGGGGGGGAACTCTATGTTTGAGGGGAAAACATGCCGGGGCTCTATTAAATCTCCACAGGGTGAAAATCATACCACATCGAGAAATATAGCGGATATTTTCACAAAATTTTGTGAACAACTCTATACGTGATCTAATCCGACAATGGGCTGAATCAACACATATTTAGACTCGCTAGTTCCTCCGAAATCATTATCTGAAATACAAACATTGGCACTGGATAGTCCTATAACGAGAAAGGAGGTGATAGATGCAATCAAACAGACAAAATCTAATAAAGCTCCAGATATTGATGGCCTCCCGTATACAAAACATTTTGCGCTTCACTAACAGACCCTTTATTAGCCCTTTTCAACTCGGCCTTAAGATGGAATCCTACCACCATCCTAGTCAGAATCCTCAATCACAGTCATTCCCAAGAAAAATAAAGATCCATCAGACCCGGCATCCTATCGACCCATTGTGCTGATAAACAGTGATGCCAAGCTTTTTTCAATGATTTTGGCAAACCGTCTTAAGAATGTGGCCCCTGATATCATCAACACAGACCAGACGGGATTTATCCCAAATAGACAGATTACGGAAAATATACGACAGACATTGAATGTGATCTTAAAAGGCACGCGCTCCAAGGAACAATCCCTGATTCTGGCCTTAGATTTTGAAAAGGCCTTCCATTCCATTGAAATTTCATATCTACTTACACTGTTACAGTGCATGAGGTTTGGAGCAAACTTATTGACGGCCTTAAGAGCAATATACCAAAATTCTCGATCCAGGGTGAGGATAAATAATGTAAATTCAGCCTTCTTCTCTCCCACAAGAGGAACTCGGCAAGGCTGCCTGCTTTCGCCTCTCATATTCACGCTCGCCATAGAACCACTGGCGGAAGACCTCCGTAACAACAAAACCTTCAAGGGAGTTTCAATAGATGGAAAAGAACATAAGATGACGATGTATGCTGATGACATGGCCTTGTACGTCTCCAATCCATCATCATCTTTGCCGGCCATTGCTGAAATCATCTCCAGGTTTGGAAAGGTCTCGGGACTAAGACGGAACACAAACAAATCTCAAATTTATCCAATAATTATCCTGAAGAAGACCAGACTGGCCCTACAAGAAAGATTTACTTACAAATGGATAACATCAGAGTGGAGACACCTCAGCGTCCACATACCAATAAACTTTGACAAAATTAAGGAATGTAATTTCCATAGAACACACAAAGACATCCAAGAAAAAATACGGGAATGGAATGAAATTCAGCTGTCTTTGGCAGACAGGTTACAACTGATACAAAGTTTTATTTTTCTGTGCTACCTGTTTCTTTTTAGGGCAATCCCTATATATATTAGAGATAAGGAATTTATCAAATGGCAACGTACACTAACAAACTTTTTGTGGAACTCGATGAAATCAAGGGTGGACCACAGATATCTCACCAGACCAAGCTCCATGGGAGGTTTGGGAATTCCCTCATTACACAGATACCAACATGCGTAATAAAAATGCTTCAAAATGATCAAGCTACAAGCTGGTGCCACATTGAACAAGCTTACGTATGTCCCTTCTAACTTCCAGACATGATATGGATGCCCAAAGCAAATCGACCTAAAACCATAGTTGATAATGCATTCTTAAATGCCACGTTAAGAATATGGGATATGCACAGGAAAACATTGGCACCAAAGATATCCCCCCTGTCTACCTTCATCAATCAACCTTGGTTAACTCCAGGGTGAGAACCGGCTGCCTTTGAAAAATGGACGAATGCAGGACTTCACAGAATACAAGATATTGCCTCAAAAGGACACCTCCATTTGAAGAATTATTCCATTCTAAAATCTCCTGGTTAAAACTTTATCAACTCAAGAGTCTCATCGACTGGGCAAAAGAACAAGAATCATTCTCCAGACCCAAAACAGTATTTGAACGCATCCTGGAAAAAACACCTGACAAAACGAAAGGTGTCTTATCACTGATATACAAATTGCTGCTGGAAAAGGAACACGACAAATCTATGGCTATGTCTAACAAGATCGCTTGGAACAAGGACCTTCGAAGGGAAATATCTAACCAACAATGGACAAAGATATGGGACTCACAAGCTTGCAAATCTAGAATATTCTCCATAAGACTACAATTTTTAAAACTCCAAACGAGATGGTACCTCTCCCCGAAGAGATTAAGACATATGCAACCCACCTACAATCACCTCTGTTGGAAGGGATGCGGGGCGGTTAGTGATTTTTCCCACTGCTGGTGGGAGTGTCCAAAAATACAGTCTTTCTGGAAGCAAGTGATAGAGGAAATCACTGCAATCACTTCTCAAAGAACCCCTCTAGACCCAACAGTAATCTTATTACAACTAGGAGACGGAGGATCTCAGAATACCAACATGTCAAGATTGACCGTGGCAGCTGTTTGGAAGAAGAAGAGATTGGATTTATACCCCGCCCTTCACTTGGAGTCTCAGAGCGGCTTACAAACTCCTTTCCCTTCCCCTCCCCACAACAGACACCCTGTGAGGTGGGTGGGGCTGAGAGAACTCTGACACAAACTGCTCTTTTTCAAGGACAGCCGTGCCAGAGCTTGTGACTGACCCAAGGTCACATCAGCAGGTGCAAGTGGAGGAGTGGGGAATCAAACCCGGTTCTCCCAGATTAGAGTCCGCACACTTAACCACTACACCAAACTGGAAAGCCCCAGACCCACCAGATATCAAAATGTGGAGACAAAAATGTTGGAACCATTTTGTAATGGACAGGATTGCAGAAACGTACACAGATAGCTCACACAAACCCTCAACCACACACCCTACCTTTGTCAAAACATGGTTTTCATTTATACAATACATGGTAGAACATGAGATAATCCCTCACAGTCCTCAATACATAGAATGGCTGCACTTCTAAACTCTTTTTAACATTGATCTTTAATTATAATGGGCTATAATTATTAATTATTGAGCTTTGGAATGAAATGAAGTACTAAGTATAATAAGTCTGATTGCTGCACTTATGAATTTATGGTTAATGCTTTGTTTATGGTTGACAACTTCAAGGTTACATATTCTATTTAATTTGTTTAAAGGAAAAAACTTTCAATAAAAAGTGTGTTTTTTAAAAAAAGAATATTTTAAATTAATGTATTAGTTTAGAATAAATTGATGTATTTGTAATGTGTAAGTATGTAAACATTTGATTTTTTTTAAAAATAGTGTATTTTTCAAACCCTTTTTGATGGGGTAGTCTGTAAAATGGCTGCGAACTTGGGCTAGCGCTCTGTGTTGAAGCAGCTGCCATAATTTTTGGTTCTTGAAAACAATGATATC